AGCCCCGCCGCCTTCTGAAAAGGCGTGCCACTCTCACTTTCCCCCTCGACGCGCCGCCGAATTGAGGAAGATGTGCGGCGCGGGCCCGCCAACCCGGGCTAGCAGGTCTGGTGCAGGCCTCCGCAAAAGACCAGGTTATATGGCTTGCACAGGCCGCGCCCGCGCAGCGGCGTGGCCAACCATGGGAACCCACAGGATGGGCACGGGGAGAAATGAGGAAGACAGGGACGGAGAGAGAGAGGGGGGGAGGAAGCGAGGGAAGGCAGATGCAGAATTGATGCGGAGCTGAAAACGAGGGTACACGTTTTTGTTTTTCAGTTTAGCTTAGCGGCGCAGAGTGTCGGCGTATTGGGCTGGCTGGTCACGATTGTGTAGAACTACATGCAGCCAGTCCAGGACGTCTCTATCCTTTGACACGTCCCCAGCCCTCAACGAATGACTCAAGATCAAACTTGGTCATCATAATATGAGCTATCTCCTGAACTCAGAGCCGGATGTCAAACAGTCGAAGCTTGCCAATGGCTAAACGGAGACACGACTCCAGGATCCCGTCCACTCTCTGCCCCCTTCTCTCCCCTCCTTTCTCCGCATGTCATTCCCCCCATCCCTACCGCTCCTGCGTTGTCTCCTCCCCCTCCGTCCTTCTCGTCACTCATCACCCTCTTCATCCTCCCCCCTCCTCCTCATCCGTTTGCTCCTCGCCCTTCCCCCTCCATGCCCGCCCCCAAGCGTTCAAAGAGATCCTCGTCAGTCCAATCTTCCAGGAGTCGGCAGCGTATTGTCAAATTCAAAGATCCGTCGAAGCTTACGAGAAGCACAAGTGCGAGCGGATGGAGGGACTGAGAGAGTGGTGAGCCTACGGCGGGAGCTAAGAGCCAGCAGGACGGCGCGGCCAACATTGTGGCAAAGGCACCCGTCATGTCGCTGGAATTCGTGTATTGGAGGGGCAGCGTCAGGACCCAGCACTTCCTGGTCCTTGCTCCTCATTCAACTTCTCATTACTCATCCTCCCCTTCGTTGTCGTCCTCCTGCCTCTACCACTAGCCTGACCCATGCTCAGACACACACACACTGCACTCTGCGCACCCCATTCACCCCTGTGCCAAAAATATACATGTGTGTGTGAGCGCATCTGCACATAATACGGAAAGGGTTGAGTCGAGGAAGAAGTATGATGATGGCAGGGGTCGGAATAAACATCCAGACGGGGACGGGGGGTTGGCCGTGGTGCTGTGTGTGAAGAGGATGAGGAGGCGGAAGAGCATATCCACTGCGAGGCGAAATGCGCATCGGTAGCTACGAAGCGTGCCTTCGTCAGATCGGTGCGAGGGGGCTCGAGTGCACGCTCGGCGCCAACGGGCTTAGGCGGAAGGGTAGGGATTCTGGCTGATGCCATGATTTGCAATCAGAAGGTCAAGAGGCCAGGGGTAACGAGGAGATGTGGAGTTGATGCCAGAGATAGTGATAAAACGGGCTCAGGTCGATGCCCGGGGCTGGGGCACAGTGCCTGGGGGATAAGGGTTACGATTGAAAGTCCGAGCACGCGTTCGGACTGGATTCGGGTGCGCGGGCAAGGGTCAGCAACTTGGCATGGCTGAGGTCATTGCTTCCTGTTCGTCAGGCGAGTGCAAAGGGTTATTCTTCCTGGCTACACGGTTGCCCCGAATTCAACCCCATCCACGAAGAGACGAGGGCGCCGTGGACGGTGGATACAAGGCTTCCCCAGAATTCGAAGATACGTCGTCTAAGAGTACCCCATTGAGCAATACGCTGGAGAGGGGGAGGATGCGGAGGAGGAAGAGAGAAGCAGCTGCAGCAGCAGCGGCAATATCATATTGATGCTCCCCACAACATCGCATGCACTCGAACGGTCCCTAATGTTTCTTCCTTCGTCCTTCCAAGCCCAGCTAGCAGCAGCAGCAGCAGCAGCAGCAGCAGCAGCAGCAACGGCAGGAGGACTTGCCTTTCCCAAGTGCGTGCGATCGAAGGGCTCGTGCTTGTTTATGATGTTTTGGGGGCTTGCACCATCTTGCACCTATCCAGCGATACCAGCTTGCGCCCAACCCGTCTTATTCCCCTGAGGTGGAGGGCGGGTGCCCGTCCCTCGCTACATTTCCCTCCACGGCGAGCCTCAGCCACGAATAGGGCACGCAACCTAGATCTAAGGAACGGCCAAAAAAACAACATAGCCCATCATGGGGGCCCGAATTCGTTGTTTTTTTCAGCGTCTTAGATTTAAGGCGGAAGAGGCAAATGAAGGAAGGAGGAAGAGGACCGCAACGAAGGCGACCACGAGCGACAGGAATAGGAGGCAGAGGAGGCCTAGAGGGATACCAAGGATGCTGAACTGCAGGAACCATGGAAATTCGTCCCCAGCCTCCGCAAGAGCGCAGCTGAAAACTACGAAGCTCGCTGTGCAGACTGCCAAGCAAGCATCACGAAGAGCTAGCCCAGACTGAAGTGGCGAAGCATCGTTCGCCGACAACATTCCATGCTTTCACTACTGCGGTCCCTGAGCAAGGCGAGTGATCCTGAAAATGGTAATGTTGAATATTAAGCGCATCACCCAACACCGGCATGTCCCATATCTTGCGGCACATACCATACAATCTAATTCGGGGCTGCTGATGGCACAAACGGTCGAGAACACTTGTACGGAACAACGCTGAGGCAATCGATACTGCAAAACATCGTCTACGAATTGCAAACTATTGTATTACATCCGTCTTGCTCTGACTCCTTCTGCCCCCTTTATCCCCCATCTCATCACCTCTCTCACGCCCACATCCCGTCTCTCTCTCTCCCTCTTCCTCTTCTCGCTCACACCTCTCTAGATCTGTCTCTGTCTCTATATGGCCCTCTCTCTCATGAAACTCTCTCTCTCCTTCTCTCTCTCCTCCCCACCCCCGTCTGAGAGGGGAAATGTCTGGTTTCAATGCGTCTTGGCCCTTCGCTGGCAAACCGAGCGCACCGGACGGCTGAAGGCAACCGGCAAGACAATCTGGGCCACTTGATTTGTTTTGTGTCCTCCCCTGCGCCCGGTCCGTACAGCCCCCCCTCGCCGGGCGTGCGCCGCGCGCCCCTGGAGGCCGAGCAGCGTTCCGGCCCGCGACCCCCGTGGGTGCCCACGACGGATCGCGGGGCGGCTGAAACCGGCACCAATCGCACCGCGCACGCCGGCCGCCGCACCCGGCCGAGACCCGGGCTGCCTCCTAGGCGCCGCTGGCCGTCGCCAGCAGGGCCTTCGCCTTGACGTACAAGGCCTTGCCCTGCACCGACTTCCCGTTGATGGCCGTGAACCCCTTCAGCTGGAGCGCCCTGCGCGCCGACGCCGTGGCTTCGGTCCACGCCTCGATGCTCTTGTATTTTCTCTTCGATGCGGCAGAAGCCTTCTTGGACACAACCTTCCCGCGCTTGTTCTTCATCAGCATTTCCTTAGTCAAGCCGCCCACGGTCTTCTGCTTAGAACCCCGGAAGACCATGGCTTTCGCAAACCTCCCCCTCGCGATCTTGCTGAAGCGCTTCGCCTTCATGACCCTTGGCTTCATGGGAGTCGCCTTGGCCGCTTTCATCGCCTTCATGCTCGTGGGGAGAGCCATAGCGATACCCTCAGGCAGGGCAGGGCCAGCGGGCCAAGAGAAGCTGCAAACTGGCGGGCGTTTCGCGCGGATGAGTGTCCGCTTGAGATCGCGGCTCGAGCCAAAATGGATACACACAATCTAGGTCACTTAACTTCGCGCATCGCGCCCCACGATGCGCGACGCGCGGTCAACTTCGCGCTCTCACGTCGGCTTTCCTGGAGAAGGGCAGCTGTCCAGTCCAGACCGCGATGCGCAGCTATCTTCGCGCCCCCACGAGTGACCTAGACAATTCAGCACCACGAAGCTTGAATTATCAAAGGAACTCATGAATACCAAGCAGGCAGCGGAAAGACGAGGCAACGCAAGGAAAAGCTACGCAGGACAAGGCCTAGCTGGCACAGCGAAGCAAGGCTCGCCATCGCTCGGACGTCCATTCCCCGTACATTTTTCGATGTCGTGCGTGTTTCTTTCGCTAAATGATCAAAGATGCTCCTCGATGGTCCTCGCCGAGAAAAAATGCACACGTCCGAGCGATGCCAAGAAGGAGGGGGATGATGCAATCGCATGCGTTCAGGGCAAGGCAAGGCAATGCATGGCACACGAGGGCAGTCAAAGCCAAGTCTAGACAACTTTACCACGGTTGGCATTCGGGAAGCCATGCGCATCAAGACACGCGCAGTCGACGAGGCGCAAACGACGAAAATAGCATCATGTTTCCCCAGCGCGGACACCAAACAGTGAGTCATTGAAGCCCTGTAGTCTCACGATGGGGAGCAGTCTATGTGGCGCAACCCATATCACGCAAGCTACATCTATGGTGAAATCTACGTGGCACAATTAATTTGTACTGCACCCTCCGCGCTCTATCCACTCAAATGCATGTGCAACAACTCCACCCACCGACCCGCAACTCATCGGCTAACATCAACCCGTTGGCACAACGACGACGCCGTCGACGACAACGACGACGATAACGATACTTATGACGATTCAAATGACATGACGATGATGATAATGATGATGAGGGTGGTGGTGGTGATGATGATGATGAGCCGGAGATGACGATGATGATGTTGATACTGATGATGATGATGATGATGATGATGAAACTGATGCTGCTGCTGATGACGATGATGGCGATGGTGATGGTGATGATGATGATGATCATGCTGATGATACTGATTATCATTATGATTAAGATGGTGATGATGATGATGACGATGATGATGTTGATACTGATGATTACGATGACGGTGATGATGGAACTGATGATGCTGTTGCTGTTGCTGATGCTGATGATGATGATGATGATGGCGATGGTGATGACGGTCATGGTGATGATGATGACGGCGATGATGATGATGCTACTGCTGATGATGATAATCACGATCATGACGACGGTGGAGATGATGTCGACGACGACGAAGATGATGACGACGACACCTACGATGGTGATGGTGATGAACCTGATGTTGATGGTTATAACGGTGGTAATGACAAAGCCGGCGACTATGATGACGATGGTTTTGGTCAGGATGATGAGGAATTGCGCGCGCACGGAACTCTGACAAGGGTAACGGCATCGATGATGATGATAATGATGATGACAGCGACGATGATGATGATGATGATGACGATGGTGATGGTGATGGTGATGATGATGATGATGATGATGATGATCATGATGATGATGCTGATGATGATGATGATGCTGATGCTGATGATGATGATGATGATGGTGATGGTGATGATGATGATGTTGATGATGATGATAATGATGATCATGCTGATGATCATGATGATGATGATGATGATGATGATGATGATGATGATGATGATCGTGATGATGATGATGATGATGATGATGATGATGATGATGATGATGGTGACGATGGCAATGATGACGCTGTCGACGATAATGACGATTGTGCTGATGAGGATGATGAATTGCCCGCTCGCAGAGAGTCAGAACTTCACACATGCTGTTGCAAGACCCTTGGCTTTCCGTATGCCGTTGGGTACCTCTGTGATAAACGCTTAGAGAACAAATGGTTTGGGATGGATTTCGACGTGCGCGCGCGGAGACGCAAGCGCATAGCCCGCATGGACTGATTTGGCGGAGTTGTGCTTCCAGGAAGTGCGAGCGCGCAGAAATCTGGCAACGGCTTGTCGAGACGCCAGTTGTCTGTGCCAGTGCTTGAACAGCGGTGTCTTGAACACTTTGGGAAATCAGGCTTGAATGAGTTTGGCGTGCGCGCGTTGCGGCGCGCGCATGTGGCCCGCGGTGCACCACGTGCCGCAGTGGATTATGTGAGAAGACGCGTCTTAGATCAACGCATGCGCAACACAGGACAGGAGGGGGGGGGGGCGATTGACTACCTACCAGACCACCCCAACCCAACCCGAAGACCCCAATTGCGGGTTGGGAGGGGTACGGGTTCCACATGTGTTTTTTCAATGTTCCCCGACCCCCCCCCCTGGAAATCGAGGGTAAATCTGAGCCTTCGGGTTGGGTTTGGGTGGTTTGGTGGGTGGTGAGCGATACTGGGACTGGCTGGCATGCCGTCACTAGATACTCAACATAACCGATCGTGCAAAATGACAAACATAAAATGCGCAGAGGGGGCTGGGGGTGCTAACCCGGCTTCGGCGGGGGGTAGTCAAATTCTTTTCGGGAACTGGAATTCAGACGTTGCATCTGCGAGTGGCCACCCACCCATCCGCACATTGCAAGTAAAATTCAACTGGCGCAATGATGCGAGGACGCTTCTCGTGCAAAAGGTAATGGTGGCGCTGATGACCAGGGCGACGGCAACAACGGCGACGATGACCATCATGATGTTGATGTCAGCGGTGGGGACGATGCTGACGAAGGCGACCATGGTGATGGTGATGAAGCTGATGGTGCTGATGATGGTGGCAATGATGACGCTGACGATGACGGTGATGATGATGATGATGATGATGATGATGATGATGATGACGATGGTGCTGGTGGTGGAGTTGATGAGAAGTTGCGCGCGCTCAGAACGCTCTAAAATCTGACCGAATGGCTAACCACAGGGTGCCAATCATGCTGAAATATCGGTTAGCCAGCGTGGAACCCAACAGTGTGAAACACATGTTTGTGCAATCTACGTTGTGCAACTTATGTTGTGCAATACATGTGGTGCATCCTATACTGTACAATATATACATATATATATAGAGAGAGAGAGAGAGAGAGAGAGAGCGAGAGAGAGAGGAGGGCAAGTGGTCTATTGCTGGGATCCGGGAAGCGGGTTAGTTTCAGGGCTCCGGAACCCAAACGTATCCGTTGAGGGAGCCGCCGAATTGATCTGTTACGGGGATCCGGCAAAGGTTTATCTTTGGAATCCTCTGGCCACGGCGCAGATCCTTCGGCCTCAGTGGACCGTTCGAGAGGTCAGGACCCTTAGAGCAGACTTCTAAATCTAAGGTCCGTTTGAGGGGTCTAGACCCCTGGAATGGAGTCTAGACCCCTCAAGCGGACCCCTGGATGAGGTCACTTCAAGGGGTTGAGACGCCCGATAACAAACCCAATTCGAAAAAATCAGATCCAAGGGTTTAGACGCCCCATAACAAACCGTATTCCCTGGCTCCTCTAAATCAGATCTCACTGACGGATCGCCATACCAAACCTTGACGCACCGGCTCCCGATTTTTCCTTCGCTCCCAGGCGCGGTAACTCCTTTACATGTCCTTTCTTTGGAAGTGCACGCTTTCCGCACGAGGCGGCTATGTGGTGCAATCTATGTCGTGCAGCGTATGTGGTGCAATCTATATGCTGCAGTGGATCTGGTGCAATCGATGTGGTGCAATATATGTTTTGTGCGGCGACGTGGCGACGGCGGCAACATAGCCGCCAGACCAACAAAGAGGCCCACACGACGGGCGGCGACGAGGCGGCGACAGGGCGGCGACGGCGGCGACATAGCCGCCAGACCGGCAGACAGGCCCAGACGACGGGCGGCGACAGGGCGGCGACGGCGGCGACATAGCCGCCAGACCGGCAGACAGGCCCAGTTCCTTAGAAAAGAAATAAGAACCCCGAAGTGCAAGCATTGTTCATGGAAAGATGGCTTTGGAAGGATTTCGGCGTGTGCGCGGAGGGACGCGCGCGTGGCCCCCCGTGTGGTTTCATTTGACACAGATGGTGGGTGCGCGATGATAGCTGGGTGTGGTCGACATGCTCACGTATGGCCCACATGTGATCATTTGACAGGTTGGCCAACGACGCATCGCAGTGGACTTCTTGAGATTTCAACGAGTGCGCACGCTCGCGCTAAAAAAATCTGGCAACTCCTGGTGGAACAAACCAACCGGGTTCTCCGTAGTTGTTGAACTAGTGTCTTGATTGAAAGTGTGAGAGAGACAATGGTTTTGCATGATTTTGACACATTCGCACGGGGGCGCGCGCGTGGCCTCCGCATGGTACTGTGTTGCAGGGATTGTTCCGCGGCGTACTTCTTAGACCAACGCATGTACACAGCATTGTCTTTCCCCTGCTAGGCTTTGCCTCAAATATTCTCAGTTGCTTGTAGGAGAACCCGGTCGGTACGGGGCTTTTTCCAATCAGCGTTGTTTGTGGCGCCTCGTTGGTTTCCTGAGGTTGCCCAAGCTTGCCCCAGGGGTGCCTGGGCGGCCCCAACCGTTGCCCGGCAATGTCAAGAACCACCAAGCACTGCCAAGCAACGCCAAGCAATGCCAAGCAATGCAAAGCCTTGCCAAGCAACGCCAAGCCATGCCAAGCATGACAAGCAACGCTAACAATGTCAAGCAGCGATTCCAAGCATCGATTCCAAGAAACGATTCCAAGTAACATCAAGTAACGATGCCAAACAACAATGCCAAGCAATGACAAGCAACGCCAAGCAATGCCAACAATGCCAAGCGATGAAACGCAATGCCAAGCAATGCCATGCAATACCAAGAAACGCCAAGCAATGCAAAATAATGCCAAGGAATGCCAAGTAATACCAAGCAATGCCATGCAATGACAAGCAACGCCAAGCAACGCCAAGCAATGCCAAGTGACGATTCCAAGCAATGATCCCAAGCAGCCATTCCAAGCAACGATTCCAAGCAACGATTCTAAGCAGCGATTCAAAGCAACCCATCAAAGGATCGATATCCAGCAATAACAAGCAACGCCATGAAATGCCAAACAATGCCAAGCAA